ACCAGTGCCCATCCCGTATTATAACCTTTGTTGATAATGTGGTAGAATCTACAGAACAAAAAGTAAATAATTCCAAGGGATTCATTGGGAAAACAAAGATGTTGCGAACAAGTTTGTTTGACTGTCTCCCTGGGTTATTTCTGTGAGTTATATGATTGACCAGTAGATAAACCACTAAAAGCAAGCTTATTCGTCACATCCGTTTTTCCAACAAGAAGTAACATGATTACTGGATGTATTGAACTGAACTATTTTGTGCTAATCTCATGTATACAGATCGATCGAGTGTCAGGTCTGAGAATAGGCAAACACAGGGAAGAGTAGCCGTTCGCCAAGGTTCACCGGGGTAGCTGTTTGTCGACTTTACAAACCCGACCTGTGTGAACAGATTAAATTGCTGAAATGGTTACGTTCCGTGACCTTGTGACCTTTGCTCTCGGTATTGATCGATCTCCTCCCGTGTGTTCGTTTGTTCTCAAGCTTATCACTCCTCCAACCAAAAGTGACCTGAATCCTTGTGGACAGCTCCTATGATTACCATGAAATAATTAAATTTAACACATATTGTGATCACGATGTTTCTCCCTGCTCTCATGAAATTAGTAAATGGAACTGATTGCATGATAATCTACAATCTTCTAGTGATGATATCAAACCGGACCGTACCAATATGAAGTCGAGTTAACGAGCCGTACTATTATCATTCGAGTATCACCTTACTATAGTATTGGAAGCACGTATTCATAATGTGATCGGTAAAATTGACAATCTAGTCACGTTTCGCAGCGTCTTCCCGGGGCCCAGTTTTCCTAGGATGTGTCGAGTAATTAATCACAATGGCGGGGCCAGACATTTTCAAGTGACAAAGCTACACTCAACCTAGTTTAGTTATTAGGAGCAGTTCCTCAGATGAGGGATGAGTTCCAGATGAAGACAAAATCGGAGTAATGGCCCAAAGAGACAATACATTTTCCCTTGTCACCCCATATAGCCCGTCACACGATGCGGCTCTCATACAGTGCTTTCGCCTTCTATTCAATTCTACTTAGTTTAACCGTCTGACAGCCACAATTCATTGAAAAGAACTTAACCTCTAACTTTCTTTTTAGTTATTGGATATACAGATGTACGGTCAACTTTCAGGAAGAGGGCCGCGGCCATACAAAGGCTGCCTGAGAAAATACAGAAACGGGAAAGACGGGTGGCGATGGAGCGGTTGGAGCCCGGAACCCCGGGTCACAATGTGATGACCTGACCACTGGGCCACCACCGCTGAAAGCCAATGCATGTGGTAGCCAGGAATGATTTATTATATCAACACTCTTCAATAAGGAAGTCTCGGATGTCTGTTTGAGCCATGTTGCCCTATAGTTAGCCCAATGAGCGTGATTCAATTGGAACACAGTCTGGACTCAGGCGAGACACGAGACATACATGGCGCGTGATGTCTCAGCAAGGCTTATCCAAGTGGCACTCTGGGAAAGGTGAAGTATCTGGTGTCGGTATTGCACACTCCACATTCGGTTATGGATACGCCCTGTTTTGCTTTAGCAACCTGTAGGTTGAAATACTATAGTTTATTCCACTCCCGCTTTTTTCTGTACAAACCGATCCGCACGTTGTGAATGTGGTTCGTATAACACGTTACGATTCAATGCATCAAAAATAATGCTGTAAAAATCCGGTGTTCAGTTTCTCACTTAGCTTTACCATTAACCGAGGTGAAATGTTTCGCTCATTCAAGGTTATCGCGTTTTAATTACTAAGCCCCATGAGTAACTCAATCGGAACTACAAATCACGTTATTCGTAAGCCGAAGACTGTGTGAAAAAGCGGACAAAGACCAACAGACAATGGACTAACCTTTGACACGATTGGCCGAAGCAGTTTGCATACAATCCTGGTGATTCAGACGATGCAAGATCAGACTGGCCACATCGGCACATTTAAATGCATAATTAAAGTCACCCGTAGTGTACTCGAGGACATAGTGCGCGTAGGCGATCGCTTCCAAAGCCAGAGCGGACATGACACTGGCCCCGGGCAAACAGCTGAGAGTGAGGGCGAACCCGATCTGTACGAAGAGGAGAGAGAAAAAAAGAAGCAGTACAGATGTGTGTACAGAGACCTAATCCAGTGGACCTAATTAGCAATTACAAGAACTACTTATCCTAACACAGGAGTTTGAAGTGGTGACCTGACCTCAATAGAATAATCGTTGCATTGACACAAGTGACAATCAAGCTGTCGTTTATCAGCAGTTGGGTTGGGTAGAAGAATTTCTTCAACAGCAAACCATGGTAGTTTGGGTTTCTGAGTCACTATATGACTCTATCACCGTAGCCCGAGGAGTTCCACAGGGATCCGTGCTTGATCCAAACCGTTTTCTAGTTTTCATAAAGGATCTAATAGACATTCTGGGGTCACCGAAACGTTAATGTTTGTAGACGATGCAAAATTTTGGAAAATAGTGACAAAACCTGCCGACTCACTGACAATTTAGAGATCAGTTAGTGCTGCTTATCAATGATCGATCGAAAATGACATCAAATTCAATGCATCGAAATGTAAGGTCACATACCTTCGCCACCAAACTCGGTTTTCGCACTTCCTGGGATATCAACAACTTCTGTATGCCTCGAATGAGAAGGATCCCGACGTTATTGTGCAAGACTACCTAAAATGTTCTTTAAACTGCATCAAGGCGTCGTCCGCCGCTGCAAGACATGTTGGTTTACTAAAGCGAGTATTTGAAAAAATTGAACTTAGACTGTTGCCACATTTGTTATTAGCTTACATTCGACCCCGTACATAGTACGCCATTGAAGCGTGGAATCTATGGCTGCAACCCGATCTGGAACGTCCACAAAGAATGGCCACCAAAATGGTCAAGGGACTGTATTCCAAGACTTATGCGGAAAGATTGGAATCATTGGGGTTGTACTCCACATAGTATCGCCGAAATCGAGGAGACTTAATTTTAGTGTATCAAATAATGCGGAACTCTGATCATCCATTTCGTTCATTGTTCGCCTTGTCGCCCAACGCTCACCTCAGGGGCACTCATTCAAATTAGTGCTCCAAAACAGTCGACTAGAAGGCCGGAGTCATTCATTTAACCTCAGAGTGTGCAGTATTCGGAATTCTCTACCACTTCACGTTGCTTCTGCGCCCACAACTGAGTGTTCCAAGCACAAACTGGATGGAACATTGTCGTGTCTTAAATTGTGACACCCGTAGGAGTACACGAAACAATGAAAATTTTTGCCATTCCTCATCTTTCTGTGATTCACGAAAAACCCGAGGGGACAAGACAAGCAACCGCTTGCAAATATTTCCCATATTAAAACTTTTACTTTGAGTTGCAGGATTTGAACACCGAATCTTAGGGATGGAGCGTACTAGTGACAGCAAATCAGACCACCGGACCACTACCTTTCCAGTAAAAATGGGTAAACCTCAAAGAAACTATGATGCTCCTAGGAGCCAGCGGTTGTGAAATATTAGCTGGTAGACTAGTTAGCAGTTTGAACTAATCTATTACCATTTCCTGAAGTAATACTTAATGATTAAGTGAATGAGCATATGTGTAATTCTTGTAGTTCGAGTGGCAGGGAATACACAACTGAATGAAGACAGGACGGCCGAGTTTCGCCAGAAAGATTGACGAAATTCTGGGAGAAAGTTAGTGGTATAAAGGTCACAGGGAGCTATCTATGTGCACCTGATTTTATCTACGCAAAACAATGGCAAGAAGGTAGGATTTTAGTTTATTCAAAACCAACGTTGTAGCATTTGTTAGCCAAGCCATTGCTTTCTTTGTCCGCCTCGAACTGTTATAGTACTATTTTGACATGATCGGTTGAACAAGATGGGTTTGAGTTAGGAACAAAAGATTGTGCACCACGGGTTTGGTTATTCACTTCACTATTTATTGCCCTATTCACTGAAGCGACACAGGAACAGAAAAAAATAGGTGATGGCTTTATTAGTGGCGCATTGTATATCGAGACTGATCAGGGCACAGATTGACAATGGAAGAAAACGCAGCCTTATCATGTTCATCTCCCCATCAGAACAATGATGAGTGTGAGGGAGCTAGCTGAACAGTAAATTTGAAGTAAGACTGTGAATACTCCCCCCCCGTCCCCCAATTTTGACTGAGTCCCCGTCCGATCACCCCATTAAGGCTAATCTAATAGTTGGATTGGTGGTCCAACTGCCAATCTCACGACGACCAACTGGATACCGAAACATACAGCGTGATGAAGATTTCCGGGTTCCGTTGAACTGTCGAACGATAAGCCATGGATGAATCACGCAGGCGTAGAGACCATTAGTCAAGAGGCCTTACCGGGAAACCGTGTACATGAGATACACTGAGTTATGAGTATTTCGTTGCGTTCGTCAACCGTGGATTAGTCGAGGAAGGGCTTGTTTTGTCTCCACTTTCCTTTATAGTCATTCAAGTGTATTTCATTATACTGATGTCAAGAGAAATGAAAACTCGCGAGAAACATGTGCAACTTCTCGTTTGTCCTGATAGACAAATTTTCAAGACTCTAACCGGTCCAGTGTATCAAGTGCATAGGCTCCTGAACCACTCCATACAGAAAAAGAAAATAAATTATGGAAGATATTGGATCATGCAATAACAACGCCACTCACCACATACACCTGAGCTGCTTTGCGCGTCTTGTCCGTATTGAGCAACAAACAACCGTATTCCAACAACAGATTTGCGTAGATCAGATTCGAGGTGCCATAGACACGACTGGGACCGAACGGAGAAGAGTAAAGAATGAGATTATTCAAATCATTCAACGGAAATCGTATTAAATGCAAAGCATCATCATCATCATCAACGTACAGCAAGATACAGTGAAGCGAGCTTCACTGATCGTTGCCAAGCTCACAATATATACAAATCAGATGATAAAGCGTAAGATGGAGAGGGATTGGGCCTAATTGGAGGGAAGCAAAGAAAAACAACCTCTATGTTCAACACACAGAGTACACAATCTAAGTGTTCATGCATGCCTTTATCAAGCATTCTGCCTTGTTAAGAAATGACAACAAGAGCACCACTGCTGTCGGTTAGTCGCCATNACCTCCTCTCTTTCCCATATTGAGCCCAGGAGTTTTGTCAACTCCAAGACTAACGCTGAGCCTCCATCCTTAACACGATCCAGAAGTCACTTGTGATAACACAGACATTCGATATAGAACACCAGGCTCTATTAAGACTTTGCAGTAACTAAAGCATCGAGTGGGTCCTTACTCGTTGAGAAACAGAGAGGCTTAGTTTTGTGTACATTCACATGGCATTCCTTCATATCCGATGGCTAATGAACTTTTACACACATATATACACAAGTAGGAACCCCGAAACAATCAACTGTTCTGCCAGCTGTAAATGTTTATCACACTACACGCTATTACTATCATTCAGTCAGCGGGGGTGAATGTCATGTATTGGAACTACGTCATTTACAATTTTCGTATTATTCGTTATATGTGTATTATATGCATTCATATCCACCATCTATCCTCCTGTAACAATATTCTCCATTATTCAGTTGATTAAAGTCTACGATACGGCCTACCTCTTCCGTTGTGCTCAGAGCATCTCGTTGATTGATGATCTACTACACTATTCTACCGTCATTTGTAACATAGCTACCCAAGGAGATGAAACATTCCCCTACAGCTAATTCTTGACCATCAAGCATCAGCACCAAGGTAGACGACACCCAATCTTGAAGCTTTACATTGCATTTTAAAGGTGTAAAGCGCACACCGAATAAGGTNGCAGTATATGCAACCTTTCAGTTTCAACGAAACATCGCGTCTACACCAAAGGTGTTTCAGTCCTGCGTAAGCTGCTCAAGCCCTGGAAATGCGAGCGGTTACTTCATTGATTATGCTAGCGTCATTTGAAACGCAGCTACCTAAGTAGGTGAAACATTCCCCTACAGCTAATTCTTGACCATCAAGCATCAGCACCAAGGTAGACGACACCCAGTCTTGAAGCTTTACATTGCATTTTAAAGGTGTAAAGCGCATGCCGAAAGGAGATACATAACTCGCTAATCTGTCAAGAGCGCGTTGCGCATCCTCCATAGATCCGGACAACCAAACGATGTCATCCGCGTACTCCAAATCGTACAGCTTTTCTCCAACTGCCCATTCACTTTGGAGACCACTAAGTGCGTTCTCCAGTACTTCGTCTACGACGAAATTGAACAGGAATGGCGAAATAGGGAACCCTTGACGAACACCGCTCCTGGTTTCGAACGATTTACTTAGCCCACCGTAGACCCTTACGCTACTAGAAGCATGCAAATACAACGACCGCAATAGGTTTACATACTTCCGCGACATTCCTTTGCGGAGCAGTGATCCCAGAAGAGCTTCACGGTCAACTGAATCGAAAGCTCCTCTTAGGTCAAGGAACACTTCGATTGTTGGTCGACGACGTGTGTGACGCTATTCGAGGGCTTGACGCAGAATGAAGATTTGGTCGATGCACCCGCGACCTGGTCGGAATCCGGCTTGCTGTTTGCGGATATTCCTCTCCTTTAAGGGTGTCAGGCGGCGAAGTATCACAGAAGTCAACACTTTTGTGATTATCGGAACTAAACTAATCCCGCGGTGGTAGGCGCAATCGTTGCGTGATCCCTTCTAGCAGATCTGGACGATCAACTATTCACCCCAGGGTAAAGGGATACGCTCCTCCGTCCAAATGCTGCGAAGTAGGCTAGTAATTGAGTCGACAAGAGAATCACCGCCAAGCTTGAAAAGAATAGGGAGAAGCCCATCAGGTCCCGAAGCCTTCCCTCTCCTTAGTGATTGCTCCCCCAGTTAACATAAGACTGAGAGGAATCCAGTCCTGTGACACTAGTTCACATTAGAGGTACAAAGCGCGAACCACCCTAAACGTACTTGGATCTATAAAATATCATTAACGTACTCCAGACCGAACGGCTTATCGCCCGCAAGTACACTGATGCTGCTATCCTCGCACGATTAAAGGGTCGATTCCATAACCATATCGTCGATGGATTGGACGCTGGTTGCTAGAATTCAATTTTTCGCATCTCCTCTGCAGCGGTCACTCTCGAATATGGAACTAATTAGTGATTCATTTCAATTACCTCGACCAGTTTACTCCGTCCATGTATCGCGTCACAGATTAGTAATAGGCTCTGAAAGGTAATTGCCCATATATTTAAAAGAAGCAAATCGAACCCACGGGGTCCTTTCAAATGACAGTGACACCATCTCTTGCTCCATTACACGCCTACATGACATGTTTTATGTATTCCCCCACCTTTAGTCTTGGCGTTAGTTTTCACTTTGCCAAATTCCCGAGTTCAAAATATGTAAGAAATCAAGTTCCAGATAAATGATGTTGATCATTTATATCAAAGATGGACGAGAAACGGGATAGATCCGCATGCGAAAACTACAAAGCAATTAGTTTAATCAACGTCGTCTCTGAACTTCTCGCCGGTATTAAACTCCGTCGACTGTCTGCCGCACGTGAACGATCGAGGTTGTATAGACCACACCTTCACTCTGCGCCAAACTATGGAGCACCGACATTCTTTTCGTAGACCCACCATCTCTGTCTTCCTAGATCTGAAAGCGGATTTCGACTCAGTCGACCGCTCCAAACTCTGGCGCTGCCTCAATCTGAAGGGTGTGCCCGATAAGTTTATTTCAATATTACGATCGCTTTATACTAATANTCACTCTAACTGGGGAAGTAATAGAGCAGGTGGATGTGATGTTATCTGGGCAGCAACATCTCACTCGGTGGACGCATCACGGATGAAGTGCCCGCTCACATACAGAAGGTTCTTGAGGAATCCACAACCGGAGCCCTTGGCTAACCAAAGCCTGACTCGTAAGGCAGCGGGGCGGTGTGTGGGAACCGCAGTTCACTGGGAGCCGGTGTCCAGTTCATCAGATCATACGTCCTTCGGACGGAGTCAGAAGTCCAAGGTATCCTATACACCTTAATGTCCAATCGAGCCGGTGA